TGAGGACCAGCTGTGAAGCAAGGCAAGCTGCTGTGGGGCCTTGGGCCTTCTTTTGGATGTTCTGGGTCTCTCTGACCCAGCTGCAGTGTGTTAGGTAATTTTAGATTGCAAAGGGCCAGGGCATTCATATGCAAAAGCCTCTGCGCACAGCTTGGGTGGGGCAGGGTCTCAGGATATCAACAGAGCAGAGCAAACAGCTATGGCCCTGGGTCTCAGTGTCCCACGGTAATCGCTACAAGCACCTCTGAGAGAAATCCGCCCTCAGGTTCCGCCCGATGACAGTTTCTCCCTGAATGAGTCTGGGTTCCCAAAGAATCACCCAGAACTGGAGTTCAAGCAGTCAGGAGCTTGTGTCTCCCTCCCAATTGAAAAAGAGAACTGTGTCCTCAGTTGCCAACACTTTCCGCGTGCGCCTCTGTACCTCTGCACTTTACTTCCACTCCTCCTCTGAGTCTCAGTGTGCTTTTCTCTTTCCTTCTGGTTGTAGAATTTCCACTCAGCCAGCCTTCCTGTGGTTCTGGATGATGTCCGTTCTGTCTTTTAATTGTATTTTTGAAGTGGTTGTGCGAGGCAGCAATCTCTGGTGTTTACCTATGCTGCCATCTTGTTTTCTGTTCCTTTACACTTCTGTTGCATGTGTTAATGGCTAAGGACTCAGAGGGTGGAAAAGAGACTCCAATTCTATTTTAATTATTTTCAAAATAAATGTAGTAGGCTTTCCATTGATAATTAAGTACTTACTATATATAAAGTTTACTTGATAGTGTGTCAAATAGTTATATTTTCTTATTTTTTGATTATAGCAATTTATAATTAGTACATGTTTCTTGAATTTCAGATACACATAGGACCTGGGTATATAATAATGAATAAAGATTATGTAGTCCTTACCATTTAAATACAGTGAGGAAGACAGACAATAATTAACATAATATTAATATATGCCTAACATAACTAAGGGAACATGTTTCAATGTCAGGATTAGAGAAGGGATAAGGGTGTGGACTCTCTGACATTTAAAGCGACATCCAAATTAAGGAAAGAAGTCAGACACTGAGGGAAGGCTCAGGGAAATGTCATGAGTGAAAACCCCAACATGGCAGACAGCGGGCCCTGTCTGAGGAATATCAAGGAGGTTAGTGAGCTGGACAGCAGTGGGCAAAGGGAAGAGTGCTTACGATAAAGAAAGAGTGATGAGAAAGGCTCAAAGGGTGCCATAAGAGTTTGGATATTAACAAAAACAAAATGAGAGGCAAATTTTAAGAGACACATCATTGCCAAAACCGGTTTGGCTCAGTGGATAGAGCGTCGGCCTGCGGACTGAAAGGTCCCAGGTTTGATTCCGGTCAAGGGCATGTACCTGGGTTGCGGGCACATTCCCAGTAGGAGATGTGCAGGAGGCAGCTGATCGATGTTTCTCTCTCATCGATGTTTCTAACTCTCTATCGCTCTCCCTTCCTCTCTGTAAAAAATCAATAAAATATATTTTTTTAAAAAAAGAGACACATCATTGTTGGTGATAAGAAATGAGGAACTTTTTCTCTCAGAATATAATAGTCAGAATGTTAATAAAAGCAAGGCTAATAAAGAATTTCTATCACATAGATTTTCTAACATTTTTATTAACAATTAATAGAGAAATAGACTTACTATAATTTAACTTCAGTTGTCCATATGATAAAAGAGGAGGAGGAAGAGGAAAAAGAGGAAGAGGAAAAAGAGAAGGAAAAAAAGAAGAAAATAATGAAGCATTATATTGTTTCTTAAGGTAGCCCATCACAGAGCATTCCAGCCAGAGATGATACCACAGTTTTTCAGGGATCCATGCTAGTTAAAACAGCTTCTTACCCTACAGCTTCCATAGTCTAAGGATCTCTCTATAATAAATTGCAATTTTCCTGGGAGAGAAAAAGAAGTCCTAATGCGTGTGCACTGTAGCTTAACATAAAGCACACCATCTGGTGCTTGCTTTTCATTCGGCAATGATCTATAATGACATATTATAACAGATTTTATCTGTTAATTACTAAGAAGCAAAAGTGATTTCGATCTCAAATTCAATAGAGCAAAATAAAACAGTTACAGTAATGGGAAAAGTGTTCCTTAAGAATTGAAAAATTACTTCAGAATTCATAAGTCTGTTTTGTACAATATAACTATTACTCACTGCTATACAAGCTCATGGCAGAGGTTTAGAACATTTTTTTTTCTGCCTGCATTTCCATTTTTTAATTTGTAGATGTTTTCATGGTAGTAAAATCCTTTCTATGCACTAAGAATAAAACACTAAAATATCTATCTTGCAAAATATCTAAAAGTTGCTTAATTTTTTTAACTCATATAAATCCAATTGCTTAATTAGGGTGCATCTCTATGCTGAAAAAACTGCAAGTATATTTGAAATATGTGTTTTTTCCTCTAGCATACCAAAATGTGAAAAAAAATGTGAAGAATCAAAGTAGAAATGGTTAACAGGTAATGATATCAAGACAGACGATCCAATGGTCTCTCAGGAACGTCTTTAAAGAAATGCTTTGACCAACTAAACCTTCTGGAGCCCTGGAGGTTTGCTGTTTTATCAAAAGTAATTTTACAGTTTGGAAATATGTTTTTTCACATGAAGCTGGATGGCTTGAGCAGCATTCATGGGAACACAGGTCAACATTTTCACTCTTGTAAAAGATATCAGTGACACTGACAAGTACCCTATCTGCTAGAAGTTGTCACTTGCAGGTTCAAGGCAAAGTAATTTTATCCCCTAAACCTTTAAGTTTAAAGAATTGAAAAAGAAATCTTAAAGTCATATAGAGAAGTAGTAGGGGTTTTCAAAAATTATAGGTCTATTCAAGCTTAATTTGGCACTTCATTTACACTGCATTGCAATAATACACCATAGCAAACAATTGAAACATATTATTTTTACTTTATTGCTGAAAGAGATAAGCATTTGCACTAGATGGCGAATCAAATAGCAAGCTGGGTTATAAGGTTTTGTTGCTTATTCTGGGATTACATAGACATACATTTAGTCTAATTTAATCAAGGCTACCGGATGGTCCTTCCTTTTCATTTACTTAGACCTATTTGCCATTTTCTTCTTGGTTATTGAATTCCCAATGATCATCTTGGTAAAAAAAAAAAAAAAATGCTTACAATGAAAATAGTGTTGACTATACTCCCGTGAAGCTAGGTGTAGCCATGACACCAAATGCTATCAATGCAGAGTTAGCAGGTTACCTTCCTTACAGAATAACAAATCATTTTATTCACATTCAGAATATCAGTTTTACGGTAATGAACTAACATAACCCTGTGAATAATTTTCTTTTTTTTTATATTGTGAAATCAGCTAACTAAAGTCGAGTTGAAGAAGTGGAACCACCATGTTTGGACATAATCAATACCATCAATACATTTGGAAAAAAAAATCTGTTGAGTTCCCCTAGCATAAGCAGGAGCAACGTATGTCTGGAATTACTATATTGGTTCATTTTCATTTCACAGTAAGTTGTCAATCATCAAGTATTCTAATCACAGAAAAAATAGATATTCTACACTGTGGAAGAGTTATCTGACTGACACCCCAAAATCTATTCTCCACTGATTCCTTTTAGAAATGCAACTACCCTGGCTGCTAGGTGTGACCGTAAGACTGGGCTCTGAGATGTGAGTACAGTAGAAATATTGGGTCAGCCTTTCTGAAAGGAACTGCATTTCCCTCTATGTCCACTGGCCTAAAAAATGGTAACAACAGGAACAACCACTTTGGAGCCAGATATGGAAGCCACAGATCTGACAGAACCACTTCACCAACCTTTGACCACTCAGCCAATGGCCAGGGACATAAAGTATTTATTCAAACTACTGCCTTTGTTAGACCAACTTGTTTGCACTAATTTAAAATCAGATACAACTAAATAATTAAGAAATAACAATTTTAAAAGCCAAATATCTTATTCTTCTAATTTTGAAATTTCAGTTTTGAATAACTGTGGAGACGTAGATTCAGGTTGATTTTAGAATTAATATCCAGGACTTCACCAAACTTCCATACTCAGTTTTTTATACCTGTTCTCCATTGTCAAATTTTTAAGTTAATCAAATAAGTGACCATCTGCTGATCTTTAAGAGTAAATGATAAATATCGATGAATATTTGAATTATAGAATAATGCATTAATTAATCTTTTATCAGGGGGACATCTTGACAAACTATATTTGATATTTAATAAAATCTATTTGGAGGCAATAAATATTGTACATTGAACTATTTTAGCTTTTATATCACAGATGAAATCAAAACAGAACAAAAATCTAATTTAAAAGCCATACTTTCCAAGGCATATATATGTAAACATAGCAAGAACAAGTACACAATTTGTATAGGTACTATAGTAGTAGTAGTTATAATTAATAACTACCATTAATTATTCCTAACACTAGTATTAAAAACAGGTTTAAATATCAGCTTATATTTTCTATTTGACTATGTGTCTTAGTCAATTTTCTATTTGACTATTTGACTGTAAGTCATCACATCCAGATGGCAATTTTAATAATGTGCCCCTTAAGCACTTTAATAGGTATCTCTTTCGACATTTTCAATATTTACTGATACTATCAGACTCTGCTGATAGTTTTCCTTGTTTTTCAATAGTTACTTCTTCTTGTAATGACTTATTTTGTATATTTGTTCTTTCTTTCATGGTGAGCTTTATTAAGTTACTATTTAGCTTATCTTTTCAAGTAAGTAATATATGATATGTAAATTTCTTAAATATAAGTTTCTGCTTTGTATCTATTTTCTAATATATGTTTCTATTTAAATTTTTATAATTTATTTAGCTGTTGAATTGAGAATAGATTTATTTTCAAATTTAATTTATTCTTATAAAAGGTCTTAGTATTTTTTCTGTAATCAGTTTTAAATGTATTTCATGAATTCTGATCTGTGATGTTCTCATTATTTTTATTATTTAAAAATTATTTATTTTGATCTTGTACTGTCCCTTTCACCCAAGATGTATTTAAAAGGGAGGATTTAATTTCTAGGTGTAACTTTCTTTGATTGTTCTTCATATTGTTACAAATCCTTAGTTATACTGTGTTTTGATCCAAGAATATTGTTGGAAATATTTATACTCTATAGCACTAAGTAATATTTTCTTTGTATCTGATTATACAATCTTTTTTTTAATGAATGCTCCATAAGCACTTGTGAAAAAAATGGGTATGAGATGCATATACATAATTAATTACAGTAATATAAATGAAATGTACCCTTTTTTTTGTTTTTCTTATTTAAAAATTCCTATTAGACATGTGATTTTTTTTCATTTCCTGTCTTCCATTCTAAGAAATTTATCTGGCTTTATTTTTCATTTCTTCTTTATTCATGGTTTGTTTGTTTGTTGCAGGAAAGTTGACCAACTGAATTGTATAATGTCACATTTCCATTTTAATTTTGTCACAGTTTTCAAAGAAGAATTTTATGTGCAGGGCTGACAATATGTTATCTATATATATAAAAGCCTAATTTGCAAATTGTCCCCACAGGAGTTCGACCGGGAGACTGATCACTCTCTATGACATGTGCTGATCACCATGGGATGGCACAGAATGAAGGAAGGCCCCATCCGGCAGCCAGCAGCTAGGGAGAGGGACCCCGGCCAGCCCTGATGGCCAGCCAGGCCTAGGGGCCCTACCCGTGCACGATTTTGTGCACTGGACCTCTAGTGTTTTATAAGAATCTTGTTTCAAAAGCACCCACTTCTATCTCTAACAAACTATGATCCTTTACCGAATTTTTTTTACGGGGAAGTGAAGAATGGGGAGATTGGTTATGTGTTTTTTAATTTTTTTTAAATTATTTTGCCTTGAAATATCCTAAACTTTCCATCTTATTCTTCTTCCTTTCATTGTGCTTCTTCCAAAGGAGGCCTTTCCCTTTCTGTCCACCCCTTCTCCCCGCCACACACACTCTCAGGCATAATCTTTGCATGTAATATGTTCTTATAAATCTTACCCATGTAATTTCTATTTTTACATATTAATGATCTTTCATTTCTGATGATGGTTTGGGATTAAGCTTCGACTCTCTGTTAGCTGCCCTCTCTCTTCTGTGCACTATTTTCCCCCTGAATTTCCCAAAGACCCACACCAGCTTTCAGGGGTGGGTTGTCTGACACAAACTATGGCTGTTAGAAGAAAACAGCAAAAAAACAAACCAACAAAAAACAAACAACAATAAAGCAAAAGCAAACAAGTAAAAAATAAAACAACCAAATTTGAACTACTAGAAATAGAAACAAGAAAATGACCCCAAATTGATTCTTCTTCTCCTCCATGTCTGCCATCTCCCGCTGGTTCCTCTGTTAGTCAAACCAAACCAGAAGCTGGACAAAAAGCAGCCCATTTATGTAGTTCAAACAATCTGCATCCTAAGGGAGATGTAGACCTGGGGGAGAAGGAGATTCAGTACATCCTCACAAGTTCATGCTATTGCGGAAATGCTTACAGTAAATACAGTACCAAAACATCACACAGGGTAAAAGCTCTAACACGTCCTTAGAAGAAAACTGCAATAAAGCAAGCGTTATATTTTTCATGTTGCACCAATGACTATAGCCATCAGATTTGTTTTGCATCTTCATTCTTTTCTGTTTTGCATGACTTCTACCCAATCTTCCTTTAAATTTATGACTGAAGACAGCATACTCATTTGCAAGCTAATAGGGTTGGTGATAGGCAATATATGGTTAGAATTGGAAACTGAAACTGCAAAAGTGGCATACCAAAACCAGTTCAAAATTTCCCATTATACTCTGGAAACTCTAACTTCAAAAGCATGATTATGTTTTGAATTTTATTGTGCTAGTAACTCAGTACAAAATGAAAAAGCTCTCTCTCAACAAAGGAGAAAATAACTATACAGTAAAAATATTTTCTTTCTAATATATTTTTACACTAAAAATTAAGATAAGAACAAGGTATTTCATGGTATGTAGTACTCACAAATTCTATATGTTCTGTATCATGATTTCCAATAATTTAGAGTAATCTGCAATCCACCAATAATTAAGAATAGGATACAGAAAAGTTACACTAAGGATTGGAAAGTGAATGACAGAAAAATGTCTGATATAACCTAAATTTGGGAGATTATACTGTCCTAATGCATAGGACATCAGTCCTAATAATTAATGTACTTACTGTATACTATAGTTATATCCTGTTCTACTACATTTGAAATTTGTTTTATTTTAATCTCTTTAATACTTGCATACATAAAATTTACTTTGCCCAGACAAGTATGAACAATTTGTGAGACAGAGAGACATATCTTTGTGAGGGGAACACATCTATTGGTTGCCTCCTACATGCATCCCAACCAGAGCCCAGCCGGGGAGGAGCCTGCAACCAAATGGAAGTCCCCAAAGAAGTCAGGGGAGTGGAAAAAAAGCTTCAAAATCCCAACCAGAACAAACTAAACAGAAACACAGAGCTGCTGGTGAACCAAGTAGACAAAGACCCTCGGGGATGGAGACCAAATGGGCGAGATCAAAGAAAGATGATAAAGCTTCCTGTCCACAAAAGACGGCACAAGAAAATAAAAGAGTAAGAGTTCACAAGAAGATACCAATTCCCCTGCTGCCCATTCACTGGCCACCAGTTAACCTGACTCACAGAGACGTCGTGAGGGGTTGGCGCCAGCAATTAAAGCTGAGCGCCAGGGCAAGAAATGGGACACAGATAGGCTGCGTGAATACGCTTACCCTACTCAGACGGATATTCCCACCAAATCAGAGGAAGCAGAGATACTGACATTATCTCGAAGGAAACTGAAGATGCACAAGGGGGAAATGGAAAATGCTGGACAGTTTTGGTTTTCCTGAAGTGACTGTTCCTGGGTGGGGGCGGGGGGGGAGGGGAGGTGCGGTGCTGCACCTGACGGGGTGCTGCTGCTCTCCTGGAGGGAATGGACAATATTTTAGTGACAACTTCCACCCCAGATGATGTGTTTGCCTCCTGGAGCAGAACTGCAGCCACGAATAGGAAGACAGGGGAGATGGAGACTGTGGGGTCACCTCAGGAGGCCTCTGGTTACAAGTGGGGGGTGGTCCGTGGACAATGTCCCCCTGCAGACACAGAGGGTTGGGTTCAGCTACAGTTTGATGCTGGGCGAGCCTGGGTTCCTGAGAAACCAGGGCAAGTGTGTTCACTGTTCTTGGTACGTTCCTGCAACTTTCCACCCCCACACCTGGAGGATAATGTGTTGTGCCCCAAATGCATCATAGGAATAAGGCATTAGTGAGAAGCTTCCATTGCCAAGAAAAAGAGTACTGCTATGATGGTAATTAATATGGTAGAAAGGTGACTATAATCATCTCCATGGTGCTACCGACAGGCCCACAGATGGGTGGGGAGCAGATGTTACTCTCAGACGACCAACAGTTCCTGCTGCTTCGTCTGCTGGGATACAGTTATGTTTTAAAATAGACATGCATTTTACAAGCAATCATTCATTGCGGTGAAGATGCAAAAGCCACTTACACCATCCAACGATTACCCATCTGAGTCAGAAGTGATCTAGCAGCTCTTTCACGGTGGGAGCCTGTACTGAACCTCGTGAGGGGAGTGGAGAAGCAGGTGTGCTCTCTGAATGGACTCATGCCTCAGAATTGTGTCCACTCCCAAAAACATTCTTTTTAAAAAAATATATTTTATTGATTTTTTTACAGAGAGGAAGAGAGAGGGATAGAGAGTTAGAAACATCGATAAGAGAGAAACATCGATCAGCTGCCTCCTGCACACCCCCTACTGGGGATGTGCCCACAACCAAGGTACATGCCCTTGACCGGAATCGAACCTGGGACCCTTCAGTCCGCAGGCCGACGCTTTACCCACTCAGCCAAACCGGTTAGAGTCAAAAACATTCTTAATATTCAAAATATTTTGCGAAGTTGTCTTAACTTGGGATTTCTGTGGTGTGTCTCCAGGATAAAAACACGAGGCATTTGGCCAATATTATTTCTGTCTTGTATATTTTTGCTGTTTAAAATACGTACAAGGTTGCTTCTGAGTCATAAATACCTAGTATGCTTAAAATGTATATATAAAGTAATTCATCTGCTATGTTTCAGGAACTTTGTTGTATGCAAATTATTATTAATGTTCTTGACTCAGTATATACAAGACAAAAATATACAAGACAGAAATAATATTGGCCAAATGACTCAGTAGGATTAAGCCAAAAGGCATGGTTTTGTTTCAGTGTAATAAATAATATACACTTAAAAAAATCTGTGCTCTGGTAAGCACTCCAAGTTGATAGGTAAATGTTTAATATAGCAGATATAACTCTATCAACTGTGATAAAAGAATGGGTTACTTTAATGAGTTGAGAAATAGAGATGATGCTCTCTAGGAATGTGGAATACAGAGGATATCTAATAATGCCTACATAAAGAAGAAAAGATAGATAAGAGGCACATAAAAATAGTATTGCCCTGCCTCCAATCTCTACTTTATTGATAAGACACACAAAAAAAAAATTCCTGCCCTAGCCAGTTTGACTCAGTGGGTAGAGCATCAGCCTTCTGACTGAAGGGTCCTGGGTTTGATACCGGTCAAGGGCACTTGCCTGGGTTGGGGGCTCGATCCCCAGTAGGAGTTGTGCAGTAGGCAGCTGATCAGTGATGTTTCTTTCTCACCATTGATGTTTCTATATCTCTCTCTCCCTTCCTCTCTGAAATTATTCATATTCATATTCATAAAAGTTTATATATATATAAACTTTTTTCCTGCCCTGGCCAGGTGGCTCAGATGGTTGAACATCATCCCATATATCTAAAAGATAATGGGTTTGATTTTGAATTACAGCACATACATAGGTGTCGGTTTCAATCCCCGGTATATAAGGAGGCAGCCATCAATGTTTCTCTCTCACATCCATGTTTCTCTCTCTCCCTCTCCCTTCCACTCTCTCTAAAAATCAATAAAAACACACCCTTGATGAGGATTAAAGACATTTTCCCTCCATTAATGTGTCATTGCAGATAACAGAGGCTGGCCATACAGTAATTGTAATGAGAGGTTAAGTGCTCCTCTTCTCAGATGGTACTCTACACTACATTACATTCAACAAAGCACTTTGTGCCTTTTATATATCCTTAAGTATTTTTTTATCTTAAGGATAAATATAAATATCATGGATTATAATGAAGAAGCAGAAGTGTAGGCTATCATTTGTCTAGTGAACTCTCTGCAATTGCAGCATGTCACGAGTAATTGTTACATTACATCAAACAATTGATAAAAGAATTATCCAAGGATAAGATACTCAGATGTCACTCTATTTTAGTACTTCACATACACAAATGTTTAACAATATTTTTTTTATAACAACATCATTTATTCTTTGTTGATTTTTTGTGTCCGGGTGAAGTGCACAACCAAAAGAATATGAACACTTCAATTTTCTTTGAAGATTTTAAGATGCAAAAAAAAAGGCAATTTACCTTTTTACCTTTCATATATCATGGCAGATTTTATATACTTATTGGCTATATAGAGAAGCATCTCGATATAACAAAAGTTTTTCAAACATGTTTTCATGCAGTTTGGATACATAACCAAAGAGCAGAAAAGACATTTTCCTACATAAAGATAATTTTAAAACAATATGCTTTTGAGATACACACACAGAGACTGAGCTAAATCATTTTCACTAGTAAGAGGAGAATAAACTAGACTTAGTTTTTAGCCCAAATCAACTATAGAGACATGATGGATTTCTAAAGCAGGCACTGGTCCAACTTTATTTATATGAAAAGTGAAAATCTGGTCCAGGTGTGGCAAGCCTGGCTTGCTGGTAATGGTGTGTGGGGCGATGGGGGTAGGCACATCCCTTCCTCTGTCTACCATTAGATTCCTGAGGTAGAGTTCCAGATTTTATTGTCTAGCATTTTAGGAATTTTTCTAAATTTCAAATACTAGGTGAGATCTTTGCTAGGAGGAAGAGTTGCTTATCTCAACCAAGCTGGATGAAGGAAAGCTAACAGAAAGGGTAAGTGAGGCTATAGATAGATGCTCATTGAATAATCTATGCCAAACCTCCAACCCAACATTGGACATGGTGTTGCCTGCTAATGGTCTTACATCAAGATTGGAATTTTATAACAGGAGGAGAAAGGAAGGTAGAATAAAAAACTTTTGAAAACAAAACTGATTTGGCTTATGTTTGTCCTGTAAGGCAAAGATTTGAGCTTGTTATAAGTGTTTGAGATTGGCCTGTTAGTAAAATGCTGGCAAAGCACCCTAAATGCTGGGAAAGAAAAGAAATTGCTGTGAGAAAGATATTAATTCTAGTTCTTTTGTTGATGGAGGAGAAATGCCAAGTACCCTATATAATAAAAGGCTACTATGCAAATTGTCTCCTCAGGAGTTCAACCTACCAGGAGTTTGACCACTTGCTATGACATGTGCTGACCACCAGGGGGTGGCGCGGAACTAAGGAAGGCCCTGGCTGGCAGGCAGTAGCAGGGGAAGGTAGGCCCTGGCTGGCAGCCAACAGCCGGCAGCTGGGGGAAGGAAGGCTCTGATCGGCCCTGATCGCCGGCCAGGCCTAGGGACCCAACCCATGCACAAAATTTATGCACTGGGCCTCTAGTCCTATCTAATAAAAGACAAAAAGGATAATTAACTGTACCTCCGCTACGCTTTTCATTGGCTAATCAGGGCAATATGCAAATTAACTGCCAAGAAAGATGGCGGTTAATTTGCATACGCGCAATGATGGGAGGCAAAAGGGGAAAGACAGAAGAATGGTGATCGGCAACCCAGGTGGCAGGCAAGAGCTGGGGGGTGAGCAAAGGCCGCCTTTCCCCACCCCCCAGCCGGTGATAGCCATCAGAAAGCTGGGCAACAGGCCAGGTGGCAACCCCGGACCCCCAGAGGCCGGGGTTGCCAGCTGACCTGCGGCCCCGTGATTGCCATGGCATCAGAGGGAGGCACGCGGGCACCCCAGCACCTGACATGCAAAGGTCAGGGATGAAATGACTTTTCCAAACCACATCTGCAAACATCCTGGGGAAGGCATCACTGAAGAGTTCACAACTCTCTTAGTTGGCAAGGAAGAAAACAGTTGGCAACTGAAACAATCCCTTACATCAAAGTTAAGGTCCCTCTGGGTAAAAAAGAATATTTCCAACATAAAGGAGGGAGCAGGCAAACATAATAGGTTCTCATGACTTCTACTGAAGTTTTTGCATATGACAGAGTCAAAACGAACAAGAAATTAAAACAGACAGTGGACATTCAAATGACCTGAATCAACTGTCACTGTTTGTCCCAATAGCAGCAATGCTTATGTGATAATATAGTTTAACAGACATACAAAATAAGTCACATGATAAGCTAGGTTCGGCTTCTAAAGTAAATTGAATATGTTCTTTTAAAATTCTAATGTCCTTTCCTCTGACTATAATTCTTAATTTTCCAATTAGAAAATTACCCCAGGTGATCCAGTAACATGTAGAACTCCAGTAATCTAA